CATAAAATAAGGAAAAGGAGAACACAACTGCAAACTGTGGTCGGAGCAGGAGCCTGGGGCGGGTGGGACGAAGGGGGTCGCTGCTGGCTCTGGAGGCTGACACTGGTCAGCTGTCTGTCCCTGAGTCCAGGGTACAGGGTGAGGGAGCAAGCCACTGTGGGCCGGCCGCAGAGGGACACGCAGAGGGCGTAAGGACAGGACAGAGGTGGGGCTGGGGCCCTGGCCGAGGCCTCACTCACCCATAAACTCAAACACCAGGTAAATGTCCCTATCGTTCTCTGCCCGGATCACATCAAGGAGGCTGATGATATTGGGATGGTCCCCAAACTCCTGGGGAGAGAGTTGGAGGTGGCTGGAAGGCCAGGAAGGGCTGTGTTCTGGGGGCCAAGAAGCCGGGTTTCTCTGCTGTCTGGAGAGGTCTGTACCTGGGGAAGGGGACTGGGCTGGAGGGCCCAGGCCACTCACCTGGAGGAGCATGATTTCCCGGAATGTTCTCTGAAGAGACAGAAACACAGGTGTGTGGGTGGGCGGAGCAAGAAGGAAGCCCCTGTCCTGAGAGGACCCAAAGGAGCTGATGTCTGTCACCCAGTGCCCACCAGACCAGGCGTGGCAAGGGGGCAGTGTTCTGAGACAGGCCAGAACATCTGCTATGACCAGGCTCCAGCTCCCACCGGAGCTTCCAGGCACCAGGGCAAGGGGCTGCCCCTCCCAGCCCCCATCCTCTCCTGCGCTTCTCCCCACACACTCACCTGGGCATCTGTCTTATCCCTAAAAGCATCAAAGATTTTCTTGATGGCCACGACCTCACCAGTCCTTCGGTCCACTGCCTTCCACACAATGCCGTAGGCCTGGGAAGGAGTGCTGTCACACAGGGCCAGGCCCTTGCCCCGCCATCCCCTACCCACCCAGATTGTCCCTACAGACATGAGGCTCCTCCTTCCCATCCTGGGTCCCGAGAGGGGATGGAGTGTGGGCTTCTGCAACTGCAGGCTGCCCTAGACTCCTACATCTTCCAGAGGAGGGAGGTAGAGCGGAGGGAGGGTGAGAGCTGGCGAGGCCCCGGAGGAAAGGAGGCCACAGAGGGGAGCGTCTGGGCAGGAAATGAAGCTCGGGGATGCCCTACCATCCCTCCAGCCGCCCAGGCGCTCTCCCTCCCTTTCTCTCACACCCCATCTATCCCCAATCCTCTTGGCCCCACCTTCAGATTCCTCCAGAATCTAGCCCTTGCCACTGTCTCCTCTGCCCCCATCCTGGTCCCAGCCTCTGACGTCTCTCACTGGGTGGCTATGCTAACCCCTTAACTCATCTCTGTCTGCCACTCCTGTGCACACCCATAGTGGGTCCTCAACACAGGAGTGGGGCCTTGTAAAGTGACACCAGCAGCTGCTATAGCTCCCAGCGTCAGCAACAGTAAAAACCAAAGTCTGGGAAGTTCCCCAAAGCCCCCACACGACCGGACCCTCACCACTCACCTGTCTCTCTCCGTCTCCTATCCAGTGGCACACACAACCCTGCACTGGGGCTATGCACTTGCTCTCTGCACTGCCTGGAAGGCTCTCCCTCCCCTCCCCATGGCACCCTGGAACACCCCCCACCCGCCCACGCACACACACACAGGCCCACATGCTCACACACGCACACGGATACAGAAGGCTCTGGCCTTCGCTCTGCGCCCACCCCATACCCAGTCAGGCCCTTCTCGGGCCTTGCCCTTGTGCTCTTGAGCCTGGGGTCCGCCCTCCCTCTCAGTGACCCGGGTGCGGGCCCAGCCTCCCCAGAGCGTCCTGTGCCCCCGGGAAGCGGCGACTGTGGGCGCGTGGAGAGCGGGGCGCCAGGATCCCTCCGCCTGAGGCCGCTGGGGGCCCTGGATGTCACCTGCTTCCAGGAGCCAGGTTCCTGGGAGTCGGGATCGTGTTACCCCATGAGGAAACTGAGGCACCAAGGGGCTCCAGATCACCCCTCCCGTCTACGGAGGAGGCAGGACGCCAGTGTGTGACGGAACAGGCCTCCGAGGGGACCGGCCACGCCCCGCAGGT